GCGGCGCTTGGCAGGAGCGTGGGACGGTGCGTGTGGACGTGCGTGGGTGCGTGCGTGGTGGGGCGTGGCTGTGGGCGTGGCCAGGCGCCGGCGTGCGCGCCCCTCCCCTTGCGCCGCCACCTCTGTAATTGCTGTACATACTCCGGACGCGTGGGAACCTGTCCGCCGCTGTCCTCGGCGCGACCCGGCTGTGTTGTTAACCCGGGTTCGTTTTGTTTTTCTCGTTTCTGTTTTGTTTTTTTCATGTTCCTTTTCATTTGGTTCGTTTGGGTTGTGTTTTGTTGTGATGTTTGTGTTTGTTTTGTGTGTTTTTGTTTTTTTCTTTCTTCTCTCCCCCCCCCTTTTCCCCTCCCCTCCTCCTTTTTATGAAACTTGAAAACTTGAAGGACTGCTGTGTATTTGTAAATAACAAAAACGATTGTGCACTCCGTGCTTGTAAATGTCCCTCGTCCACACTGCTACTTCTGGAGCCCCGTCTCCCCGGGACGCGGCCTGTCCTTGATGTGTCCTCCCCGCCCCGCCCCGCCCCGCGTGAACGTGCGGGACCGGGCCCTGGGCTCGCTCGGGGCGCGCTCAAGTCACTTTAACCACAAAACGCCTCCGTCGTCAGGGTAAGGTCGCCCTGCCAGAGCCTCGGGAGCCCGGCCCGGGGAGGGGGCCTTGCTGGGCGGGGTTGGTTGAGGTCTAACGGGCTCTTTTTTAACGGCCTGCCAGTTTTTAAATTGCGTTGCCGTTTCTTTCTTTATGGGGAAAAAGAAAAAAGAAAAAAAAAGAGGAAAATTGTACCGTTTAATTTATTTGCACAAATGCAGAAGACTTATTCTATCTAAATTATTACATAAATATCGGAATGTATATTTTTCCACGGGGCGGGCGGGAGGCGGGAGTTTCTGTTGACTTGTCTGTCCTCTTATGATGCTGCTGCCAAACTGCGCAAGGTAGGGCTTAGGGTGGCCGGCACCCAGGGACGTGGGATTTCAAAGCTCGCTCTTTTCCGTTCTTTCTTTCTTCTCTCTCCCGGTTCTTCCGTCCCTGCATGGAAGGGCGCTCCACCCTTCATCCCACCCATAGCTTTCTCCGGGCCTTTCTCTATTTATCTGAAATACAGAACGCTGACCTCAGTGAGCAGGGCGCCTACTGCGATGGTCACCTTCTCTTGGGTCTGTCTTTTGAGTGAGGTTGGATATGGGGGGGGGAATGCAGCCAATCGCATGACCACAGGGACCCTCCAGCGTCATAGGTTCCCCCCTGCAGCTGTGTCTCTCTCATCCTTGGTTTACTCTGCACATTGGCCAGGCGGGTGTCACTGGGAGAGGCTCTCATCTCACAGGGAGGGCTGTCGGGGACACAGTGCCCACCGCCAGAACCTCTGCCCTCCCCGTTCTGGTTGGTTCCTCATGCCACACTTAGCGGGAACCTCTCGGGATCTCTTCGGCCCTGGGTTCCACCTGTCCCCGCAGCCTGACCCGCTCACGCCAGGAGAGAGGACTGGCAGGGATGTGTGCCCATCTGGGAAGCAGTGTTGGCCCCAGTGAGGCTTCACCAGCAAGGAACCCTGTGCATTAAACGTGGGGTGGTGGAGAGAGCACGTGAACTGGAAGCAGGACCTCCCAAGGGCCTCCAGCCAGCTTCCCTTTTCTTTTGGCCTGTATCCCACCCCCATCCCCACCCAATGCTCCACCTTAACTACTAACATGACTCAGTTCACACACCCTCTAAACAGTAGTTGCGCTTTCTGCTAAATAATATTTTCAGCTGTTACCAAGAAACAGGATTTTCAAATGCTGGAGCGTCTTTATCAGAATGGATAGGATATTTTGTCCAAAGTCTCTAAAACAAACAGAAAAGCCTCAGCGGGCTGCTCCCTTTCCTTCTGACTTGGGGGGGGGGCAGGTTGGGAAGGAGCAGGCCGGGCACCTAATAAGGCTCCTTCTGGCCTCCTTGGCCAAGCCCTTTAACCCAGAGACCGGAGCTGGCATCTTTCTCTTCAGAGAGAGGTTTTAGAAAACACTTTCTCCCCCATGAATTTTTGTCTTCTTTTGATTGATTTTTATTGCTTTTCCTTACGAGAAAATAACATTGCGACCACTCCTGGTAATGATTTAGTAGCTCCTTTTCATTTCAGTTTTTGTAAATTAGGAGATAATTCTAAGAGTTCCTAAGGATGATTTATTTAAGAGAACTACGTCAAATAGCGAATGAGTTATGGGTAACGTTAGATGAAAACAACCTTTCCCGTGGGAAGGGTTTCTCGAAGGCATGGATGCAAATATAAAATATTAAAAAAAAACTAAATAAAGCTTATTTTAAAATATTATCGAACTCTATGTTATTTGATTGCTTCTATGTCGCTCTGGGTGGGAGGCAAAGTCCCCATAACCTGCTCCTTGGAATTCCAGGGCTGGGTCCTGAGGCGGGGATAGGAGGGGCCGAGAAAAGCTGGCTGGGTTCTGAGCCATGGAGGGGCCAAGGCCAGGGTGGTCTCCCAGAAACACCATGCCTTTGCTGACTTTTCTCTAGGCACCCAGGGCTGCCCGGGTCCTACTGCGCCCACTCCAGGCCTGGCACCCTGGCCCTGCGTACTCCAGCTCAGCGTCTGGTCAGCTTTCATCAGCTCCCTTCTTCCCCCTGCTTGCCTTCCAAAGGCCCAGGCACGGGGCCTGTGAGTTTGGGGCATGTTACTTCGTGCAGACCTCAGTGGGCCTCTGCGTTGTCCCAACTTCCCGCCTTCCCTGGGGACTGAGAAGAGCTTAAGGGAGAAATTGAGCAAATCACAGGGCTTCCCTGATGAAGCCAGTAAGCCAGATTTCTCTGAGCCCCAGGAGAACCCCCAGACTCAAAGCCCAGGTCGCCCCCAGTGAAACGCCACAGCGTGGCCCAAGAAGAGGCCACCGGATACCCCAATCCCTGATGTCAGCCAATGCCCTCGACCACTGTCTCCCAGCCTGAAAAGAGCTGCTCCAGCATAAAACAGATGGAAGACTAGCCTTTTAACTCCCCATCATTTCTGCTGGAAGGAAGCTCACAGCTCCATGATACATAGGGTGTCCCAAAAAAATGTATACACACACTTTGAAATTATAAAGTCCGTGTTTATTAAGGATACATTTCATTTTCAAAACTGAGCTACCAGTTGTTAAAGTGTATACGTTTATATATATAGAGAGAGAGAGACCATGCCAAGAAGTTATAGAGCTCAGGACTGCGAGGAACTTAGGGGCATCCACCCCAGCAGCTCTCAACCTGGCCCCACATTCAAATCACCTGCGAAGTTTTCCCAGAAATGACCGATGCCAGGCCATAGCCCCGAATCAGTGTTGAACCTCCTCTGGTGATTCCGGGAAGCAGCCAGGCCTGAGGGTCCCTGGGCCAATCCGCCTCATGCAGGATCACGAACCGGTTACAGAGCCCTCCCTGCCTGTCCTAGAGTGGCGTGATTGGACTGTACAGAGCCCAGACGGCCACTGCCAGTCAGTCGGAGCTGGCATACAAGGAGAAAGCCGATTTTCCATCCCCAAACTAACTCAACCCCACACTGGACAGGCGGGAAAATGCTGGCCCAGGGAAGAGGGACTCGGCCGAGATTCTAGCTGTGCCTCCTACAACCATTTTTGTGGCTCTACTCAAAAGCCACGCGGCCTCCTTGCTGATCTC